CCCCCCCCCCTCCCCAATTTTACGCCCTTTCTTGCCACGGCTGTTAAGCCAATCGCTGAAGTGAAGTTAGTCTCGCGGCTTCTCCATTGCCTTTGCTTGTCAGAAGGGGATCCCACGACCCCGGGACACTGCGACCGTTGTAACTATGAGACAGTTGCCAAGCATCTGAATTTTGATCACGTGACGAGCACGGGGATGCTGCAACAGTCGTAAATGTGGAAGAAAGTCGAGTCACTTTTTTTTTAAGGGCCGCCGTAACTTTGGTCATTAAACGAATGGTTGTAAGTTGAGGACTACCTGTATCTTGCTCGGCCATTTAAAGTCTAAAAATAAGGAACCATTGGATGTTTTGTCTGTGATGCCCTCCCACTCAAACTCCTTTCGTCTCCAGCTAACTTAGCCAATGAACAAGGATGCTGGGAGCAGTAGTCCCAATTTTAAAAATGAATTGAAATGCAACTATCCCTGAAGGTTGCAAAGATCGGGCAGGAAGACTGCCATTTGTCAGAAATGGTGTGTAGGGCCTCCTGCTTGGTCGGAGGGCTGGACTAGATGACTTACAAGGTCCCTTCCATCTCTAATCATTCCTCTGGATGCCCCTGGAGTCTTTCTCTAACTTGCTGTTTTCAAAACAAATAAATAAAAAAAAACTCTCTTAGGACGCAAACTTTACAAGCCGAGCTGCAAATCGCTTGCGACGGCCAACACCAGCGTATACCAGCGCCCGTCAAATCACCTGAATTAATGAGAGATGGGGAAGAGGCATTTTTGGGGGGAGAGCATGGGTTTTGTGTGTGTGTGTGTGTGTGTGTGTTGTTTTTTGTTTTTATTTTATTTCGACTTTGCCTTGTGCTAAACACCAGCTCCCCGAGAGCCTCCTCACATTATCTCGGTTTGTGAAGTGCTGGGTATGGAGTTAAGCACTTAATAAAATCGCACTTCGCGGGAGGTGAGAGCGGCACCTTGGGTCCCAGGCCCCGATTCTGCAAAGCGATGTTTAGCGGATAAATATGAGTTAGCCTGGAGCAGTTTTCTTCTCCCTCCCCGCCCTCCCCAGCTTGTTTGTGTGTTTTCTTCACTGAGGGTGTTTTAAACTAGGCCCTCTTCTTCCAATAGGCTTCCCTTCATTTTCACCCACATTATTCTGGGGTGCTGCTAACGAAGTGCGTTTTGAAAACCAAATCAGTGAGCTCACCAAGGCAGTGAACGGATACCCGTCTTTACAGCAATGGTTCTCAAACCCTGGCCCCTTTAAGGTAGGCGGACTTCAACTCCCAGAATTCCCCAGCCAGAGTTGTGGCTGGGGAATTCTGGGAGTTGAAGTCCGCCCATCTTAAAGGGGCCAAGGTTGGAGGCCCCTGATTTAGGTCATGCTTGTCCCAAAGGTGCTTTTTTTTTTTTCTTTTCCCAAAAGGCAACCAGACTTTCTTGGGTTTTGTTCCTTTGGAAACATTTGTCTTCTCATCCAAGTTTGCAGTCCTCCGGTCGCTAGCACTCTGAAGGTTGGTGCTTAGCTCTCTCCTGGAGCTATATAACGAACAAATGGCTGCAAAATATATATATATATATATATAAACCCTTTCATTCCCCACCAGCTAGAACTTCTTGGATGAAAAGCAAAACGTTTTTCAAAGAAAAGACAAAAACAAGAAAAGCCCAGTTGACTTTGGAAAAAAAAATTGCAGAAGGAACATTCTGTATTATAAACTACCAGGAGCATATTGGCGTCCTATCAGGGCTCTTCAAACTTGGTAACTCTAAGACTTGTGGACTTCAACGCCCGGAATTCCCCAGCTGGCTGGAGAATTCTGGACGTTGAAGTCCGCAAGTCTTAAAATTGCCAAGTTTGGAGGCTCCTGTCCTAGTCATACACAGAGCATTGCAAATTGAGAGGGGAAACCAATATAGGCAGCAGCTAAAGTTGCCTTGGGACCACTCCTCATTTCCTGAAGGTGGGCAATTGTGACTGAGGGATACAGAGATGCCTCCTCCCCTGAGGAGCAGATGGGGCCCAAATTTTTACGGGGTTTTCTTCTCTTCCCTTCCATGTCACTTTAAAATTTTCACATGCTGCTTAACATTTTTGTTGTGATGGGTTTTTTTCCCCTCACTCCCCCCAGAACAATTGTCACTATTTGGGAATATCAGCCTGTCAGGGGAGCCTTGTGACGAAGGGAATTCTCAGGGGAAAAATTTCCATTCCAATCCAGATTTTATTGCGTCTTGGTCCCCCCCCTTAGCTACTTAATTCTACTGACTGAAATTTGAGGGGGATGGGAAACTTGCGGCCTCGTATTCATGCAAGGGTCTTCCCTCTTCCTCCCCCCCCCCAATAATGCGTGCAAGGCTACGTGTATTTAAATGACACCTTAATTGGATTTAATTTGTCAGGGGAGTGCCGATTATTTTAGATCCACCTTTTGCAAGCTGGTTAGATGCCACCATCCCTGGACACGGAGTCAACTCCATGGGAAGGCTGACAGGCCCTTCAACCCAAGTCTGACTGGAACCTGCTTTTGTGCTACTCATTTCCAGTAGAAAAATGAGTGAGGATTGGCAGGATGTATGTCTACTTTTGCCCCAACACTTGGCTGGAAACTCTACAACCGTCTTGCCTTTCCATGGGGTCTTTGATTTCAATGGGAGTCCTTGGTATTTTTCTCTGCCAAGTCTCATTGATGCATTGCATTTTTTTTTCAGAGTGGGAGGGGGGAGAGATGGCAAAAGGTTTTCAACGAGGCTGCATTGTCTGCAGTGTTTGTCTGTCATCCGAAATCGCCATCTCTCGCTTGGTTTCTCTCTATCTGTCCTTTCTACTCTACTGCAAACTCTACTGCAGCCACTCCTAAGCGCCTAGATACGTTGGGTCACATCCCGAGAATTTAGCCGGGAGTGCTAGGAATGCGGAGAAGTCCCATCCTAAACATCTGGAGGTAATATAAGTCATCCTCGATTGACGACAGTTCATTTAGTGACTGTTCAAAATTACAACGCCACTGATAAAAAAAAGTGACTTAAGGACCGTTTTTCACACTTATGACTGTTTCAGCGTCCCCACGGTCACGTGATCAAGATTCAGATGCTTGGCAACTGTATTTATGATAGTTGCACTGTTCCGGGGTCACAGGAACCCCTTTTGCGGCCTCTTTGACCAGCCAAGTCAACGGGGAAGCCAGGTTCAGTTCCCAACTTAACGCCTGCAGCGATTCCCTTAACAGCGGTGGCAAGAAAAGTCATGAAATGGAGCAAAACCTCCCTCAATGCATGTCTCACTCCGCAGACATAACTCTTGGGCTCCATCGTGGTCGTAAGTCGGGGACTACCTGTAGGTCAGGAAAGGCCATCTTGGGCCTTTGTCAGAACCAAGGTCAGGTCCTACAACAGTGACTCAGACCTGCCGTCCATCAGCCAGTTTCAGCCTTAGCTTTCCATGCTCTTCTTCATCGCCCTTGGCCGTCTCTGCTCAACTAAAAAGCTTCCCCAGCGATGCTAGAAGACCAAACTCAAGAGTTTTGAACATGCACACGGCCCATTCTTGGAGATCAGCCCGTCAACGATGGCACAAAATCCAACAGGTTGAGTACTTTGTCCTACTTCAGTGGCCACTTTGTCTGAAATGGTGTATTTATCTGAAATGGTCTAGGGCAGGGGTCTCCAACGTTGGCCAGCAAAGCTGGCTGGGGAATTCTGAAAGTTGAAGTCCTCCAAGCTTAAAGCGGCCAATGTTGGAGACCCCTGGTCTAGGACAGAGGCCTCCAAACATGGCAACTTTAAGACTTGTGGACTTCAACTCCCAGAATTCTAGGAGTTGAAGTCCATAAGTCTTAAAGTTGCCAAGTTTGGAGACCTCTGGTCCAGGGTTTCCTGCTTTGAGCAGGGGACTTGGACTAGAAGACCTCCAAGGTCCCTTCCCTTATTCCGTTAAGTGTTGACCGATAACTCTGAATCTTGGATTGTTCTTTAACCAACTGGTCTCAACTTCGCCAATTCCAGCGTGATCCTCACTAGAGCCGCGTTATTAAGCAGTTCCTCCCCCGCTCCCCAAGACAGCCAGTTGTTTTCAGCCTCACTGGCGTTTCAGCCTCCTGATTTTTGGCTACAGTAATTCTGCATTTTTTTGAGCCTCTGGATAGAAACGAGCCCCTGCCCTGAATACGAGAGAGGTCCAAACTGGGTGGTACAATGGAGGACATTTGCAGCCACGCGAGGTTGCCCTTTGCCTGGAGCTCCTCCTCCTAACGCGAAGAACTTCCAAGGTAGGACGGAGGCTGTACGGTCGGTTTGACGAGTCCCAAGTTGGATCGAAGAGACTGGATCCTTGCGTTGAGGTGGCCTGGAGATCACGGCGCACCTATCGGGATCGACAATTAGGACTTTTTAAATTCTTCCCCAAGTTAGCGAATACTGAGGTTTAAGAGAGGGACTTTGAACCATCCTGGGAAATTGCAACGAGAACAACCTGGCTGGTCCTTTGAGCTAATGCCAAAGGCTTTGGACCACAAAAACCACACTTTCTCTCCCCCTTCCTTAACAGCTTAAAAACCATTCATGTGTGAACCTGAGATTCGTTGGGAATTCAGAGCCCCTCCTCCTCCCTCCCACCACCATGGAAGGTTTGATTATCTTGCTGGTTGGAAGACGCTGCTGGCCTGTCCCATCTTCACACATCGGTTTCTTTTTTGTTTTGTTTTGTTTGCTAAAAACTCGAGAGCTACATGGTGAGTTTATTCCTATGGAGAGAATCGTCTCGAGTAACTGTCCCAAGAGATAGCTGGGTGAGGAGGTAACGATGGAGTCGAGGTTGCATTGACTCGAGTTGTGACAAAGAGTAACTGTTCAGGATCCCCCAAAGAAAAAAAAGGGGGGGGGAAACCTTCCCCGAACTGTATTGTTTCTCAATTTTGCACAATAAATCCAGAACCTGTAAGGAAAGCAGAATTATGGGGTGCAAAACAAAAGTGATCTTCCCACGCATCCTCCAGGACAGTTGACAGTTTAGCCATCGCGACAGAGTTTTCTTTCTTTTCTTTTTATAATCTAACCCCTGAACAAAATAGAAGATTTATACAGGAAGAAAGATAAACAGGTAGCATTTTTTTTTTGATCCTCAGTGTCATTTCTGCCTTCCTCTAGATCTTCCCCTGTTCCCTTCTACCCCACCTCGCAGGGAAAAAGCCCACCACAAACCCCAATAAAACCGAACGTTCATTCACGATTGTTCCTCCCGATCGCTCCTTTTTCGTTTGTTTGCTTGTTTTTTTGTTTTGTTTTAAATCTGGCATATTAAATATAAATTAGGTCTTTATGTCCCCTCCGTATCTACTTTTCAAAACTTGGGTTTTGTGTACGCTGTGTGGGTTTTGCTTTTTTCCCCCTCCCCTACAAAATAAGGTTGGTTTGTAAAATTCGCTTCCCTTCCCCCTCCCCTTCGGTTCCAGCGGGTTCTGCTCGGAAAATATAAGTCCGCGTTTTGCCGTTTCTCTTCCTTCTCGGCAAAAAAAAAAAAAAGTTGAAACCACCCAACCAAAGAACCGATCCAAGCCCAAACCTGTGTGCGTGTGCATCTGTATATGTGTGTATATGTGTGTGTGTGTGTGTGTGTGTGTATGAGAGAGAGAGAGATTGGGGAGGGGGTAAAAACGGGGGAGTGTGGAATGTGGGCACGGGGAAGGGCGACACGATGCATCCGGAAGGAGGGGAAAACCTTTGCATCATGTATAGGCGTAGTCTACATCTGGGATGCCCCCTTCTCTGTACCCCCGAGTTGTGCCGTAGCCAATTGTGTGGGTACTTTTGTAAAGGCTGGTTCCGTTGGAAGGGAATATGGTGTGGATGACGTACTCTTCCTTCGCCCGGTGAGGGTTGATGGGGATCATTTGCAAGCCAGGCCCTCGGATCTCCAAGATGGAGTTGTCTTTCTTGGTACCCGACTCCATGTAGTCGTCCTTCTTCCGGATGCCTCGCTCGTGCGTCAGCAGCTCCCCGGTCCGGTGGACGTACCAGCAAATGGCGGCCAGGACCAGGAAGAGGAAAACCAAGGCCACCGCCCCACCGATGATCCCCGCCAGGGGCAGCCCAGCCATGGGGTCCAGGTTTTGCTCGTGGTTGAGAGTGGTGGTGGGACTGTACATATCGGCGGTCTCAGCTTTGGCGCACACGGGGCTCTCGTCAGGGATGTAGGTGTTGCCCGTCTCCATGGTGACCATGCAGATGATGTAGGTGGATTTGGGCTCCAGGGCGGTCAGGAGGTACTCAGTCTTGTCGCCTTGCACCAGCGTCTCGGTGATGGAGCCGACGGCTGGACTGTGGCCCAGGCGCAACCAGCTGAGGCGGAAAGAGGCCGCCGGGAGGGATGCCTTCCAGCTGATACGGATGCTGTCGGCGGTCAGCGGCTTGACGTTCAGCACAAGTGTTTTGGCTCCTGACCCGGTGGCCATCGGATAGTCGATGTTGGAATCAGGCAGCTGGATGCCCGGGCGTTTGGCTTTGAGGGTAAAGAGGGAGCCCTGCGGGGTGGTGACGGCAGCATTGCTGGCCGTCGTTTTGGCCACCACCGCGGAGTTGCTCTGCTGACCGACTTCAAAGCACTCGTCCATCTCGTTGGTGATGTCTTTGATGGCCATCCCTCTAACCCGGTCAGGCCCTTGGCACATCAGTCCTCTGACGTTGACCACCGCCGCTCGGGCCTTGACCCAGTCCCTCAGCCACATGAGGTTACAGCTGCAGTACCACGGGTTGTTCCTCAGCAGGAGCTGGGAGAGGCTGTCCAGGTCATCAAAGAGTCCCTTGGGCAGGGTGGTCAGGTTGTTGTTGGACAGGTCAAGCTTCTCCAGCTCCCGCATCTTGGAAAGGGTGTTGTACGGGATGTGGCTGATGGCGTTGTCCTGCAGGTACAGCTTCTGCAGGTGGGCGCTGGGCAGGTTGAGCGGCGGGGCCGCCAGGGAGTTGCGTACCAGCGAGAGCTCGCTGAGGTTCTGCAGGCGGCTGAACGTGTCGTCCGCAATGCGCTGGTTGGCGAGCAGGTTGCCGTCCAGCACCAAACGCCGCAAGCTGTTGAGGCCTTTGAAGGCGTGGAGGGGAATGGTGGAGATGCGGTTGTCATCCAGGCGAAGCTCCTCCAGGGTTCGCGGCAGCCCGGAAGGGATGCTGCTGAGATGGTTGCGGGAGAGGAAGAGCAGCTTGAGGCGGGTGCTGTCGGCGAAGGCGTCGTCTTCGATGCTGACGGTGGAGACCGAGTTGTCATCCAAGTGCAGCTTCTCGAGCAGAGGGATCCTGGCCAGGGAATCCCGGGCGATGGTACGGACGTTGTTGTCCTGCAGATGCAGTTCCTTCAGCGAGCGGGGCAGGTTGATGGGAAACTCATCCAGATCATTTTCGTAGAGGTAGATGACCTGCCAGGAATCAAGAGGAATCGGACATTTAGCATGGCGGAAAGGGAGAAAGTTCTAGGGTGCCCAATTTAGAAAACCTGACTTAGGGTTCCTGAGCTAGAAATGAGCAGGGTTCTAGATTGTCCAAAGCTAACCTTGCTTTTAGAAGTAACATTTGCAGAGGACCAGAGAGGAAAGCCTCTAGCATTCTGTCTTTCCACGCTTGAGAACTGCTTCCTGATTGTTGGTCCAGTGTTAATCTTGGTTTTTAGTCTCTGCTCATGAGATTAACAGACCCCAATAAAAATACCACCAATATCCCAATCAAGAAACGACCAACTTAGACAAACAAGCTAACAGTAAACAACAGCCTAATAATGGAACCAAGAACATCCCACCTGTCAGGGCTCCGACAAATCCACCCCCATTCAAATCATGAGTCTCTAGACTCAACTCTCAGAGTAAACAACAATTAATTTATTAGGAGTGTCCATGTTGGTGTTACCTGGGTGCAGCTGACTCTTGAGACACATCATTTATTTCCTCCTTGGCCTTGGTCTTCCCCCCACCCTTGGATGTATATTCTCCAATGGGACACATCCATAGCCAAGAGTCATCAATCATGCTCTCCAGTAATAATCTTGCGTGCCAACAGCTTTGGCTGCCTAGCAATTGTCTGAAGCATTTAAGGAATGCATTACTTTCCCCTTTCCCCCCTCCCTTTCTGGCAACTAAAAAGACACCACCACCACCACCACAACTGTCAGGGCCATTAGTATACAAAACGAGAGCAAATCCCACTCCATTCAGCATTGATGATGTTACCTAGTTGGGTCATGAAATGTCTGCAAGTAAACAACCAAGCTCAGAGAGCACTGGGACCCCTTCTCCTTCTCCTCCTCCTCCTCCTCCTTCTCCTCCTCTCCATTAACTCCATTCCCTTCTAGCAATGATGTTGTTACTAGTTGGCTCATGAAACATCTGCAGGAAAACCACCCAGCTCAGAGAGCACCAACAACCCCTCAGAAACTGAACCATTATTGCCCCCTAACCTCCTTCTCTACCTCGTCCGGCTCACCTGAACGTTGAGTTTCTTCTTCAAACTAGAAGGGATCCCCGCGTTATTGATCTGGTTATTCTGCAGGTAGAGGGTGGTGGCATCGTCCGGGATGTCAGTCGGGATGGAGGTGAGGCCCCGGTCATTGCAGTAGATGAAACCGTTGTCGCACCGGCAGACGGAGGGGCAGGTCGTGCTGTCAATCACCTCGCTCAAAAAGGCCACCAGCCCATAGCAGAGGAAGATCCAGTCGCGCAAGTCCATGGCGGCCGCCGTGGTTACCACGGTGGCGGTCACCACGGTGGCTGTCGGCGACGCCGTCGCCATGGTGCCCGGTGCCTTTGGCCGTCCCAGGGTGAAGCCTTTTGGACCTGCAGAAGAAGTCAAGTTTGTACATTTTAGCCTAGATTGACTTTTGGAGACCTCGGGGAAGATGGGAAACACGAATAGCTAATTTCAACTAAAAACTTCTTTTTAGTTGCCAGCAGAAAGGGAGGGGGGAAAGTAGTACATTCCTTAAATGCTTCAGACAATTGCTAGGCAGCTGAAGCTGTTGGCACGCAAGATTATTACTGGCAAGCATGCTTGATGTCTCTTGGCTATGGATGTGTCCCATTGGAGAATATACATCCAGGGTGTGGGTGGGTGGGGGAGAAGACAGGGTCAAGGGGGAAATGAATGATGTGTCTTAGAGTCAACTGCATCCAGATAATGCCGACATGGTCACTCCTAATAAATTTTTTTTTACTCTTGAGAGATGCGGCTAGAGACTTATGATTTGAATGGGGGTGTATTGTCAGAGCCCTGACACCTAACGGTTCTCTTCCTTGTCCAACTGAGCACCTGAATCCCGTAGCTCAGAGTTCCCCAACCTTTCTGCCTTTGTGGACCGGTGGGGAGAGAGGGGATGGGTCTGTGCGCGTGGTGAGCGCACATGCCCACGCATGCAGGGTCCATCTGCACAAGCAGTGGGCACATACGCATGCCAATCACCCATCACTTCTCTGGCTCGGTTCTGGACAAGTCAAGGCCCCATAGTGGGCTGCGGCCCAGGGATCCCTGCTCTAGCTGGGTTCGCGCATTGTGCTTAGGCACCCTGGAGGTTGTGGGAACCCAGGCCCTGAGATGCAAGAGAAGCCATTCCTATTTCAGGCTCTTCAGGGAACCACTATTAAAGGAGATCAGCTCCAACCCTCAAAGAGAGCTTAAAAGTCCTGGCTCTGCCCGTTGGCTTGGGGTGCCAACGAAGGGGCTTCACGTTGGTGATCAATTGATTAACAACAGACCCCACCCTCTCCCCTCCTTCTCATCATATTCCCTCCCCATCTTTTTAGCTAAGTTGATTTTATAGTATTTATAGCATTGCATTTATATTATTACAAACAATGAGGTTTTCTCTTTTTAATCACGTGAGTCGCCCAGAGTTACCATATGGCAAGATGGGCGGGCTAGTAAATTTTAAAAATAAGTATATCAATGCAAACCCTGGCTTGGCATGATGCAAACACCCCAGCCCTTTCCCTGAATGAAGACACTCAAATTAAAACTGAATTCAACCAGTTCTGGTTCTCTCTCTCTTTCTCTTTCTTTCTCTCTCTCTCACTCACACACACACACACACACCTGCCAAGCATTCAATTTGAGGCAAGATTCCCCCCCCCCCCCGCTTGCTCGGATTGTCTCAGAGCAATGAAACGAAGAGTCTGCCTATCATTCAGAGGCGGCTGGAACAAAGGGGCGCTGATTCGGTAAATGCACACCTCGCAAGACAATAGGCGTAATTGGAACCCGCATCCCCGCCTGCCATCTCGCTCACCCTGTTCGGTGCCCGACCTTCCGGAGACCCCAAACACCTTTTTCAGACTGCTTATGCAGCACGAATGCTTCCTTTGCAGGTGTGTGTGTGTGTGTGTGGGAGGGGGGGATGTAATTGGGAGTTTAATCAAAGACGTCCCTCCCTCTACCCACAAAAGGTCAGCAGGACACTTGTAAGTCCCTAGAATTAGTTTCCAGGCCATCCGGAGGATCCAGGCTCAACTTCTCCAGAGTCCAACCCAGAGGTGGCATTCAGCAGGTTCTGACCAGTTCTGGAGAACCGGTAGCGGAAATTTTGTGTAGTTTGGAGAACCGGCAAATCCCACCTCTAACTGGAGATTTTACAGTATCCTTCCCCTGCCACACCCACCAAGCCACGCCCACAGAACCGGTAGTAAAAAAAAAAAAATGAATCCCACCACTGGTCCAACCTGTCAGGAGGGCATCTGTTTTTTTAGACAGGTAGTCCTCGACTTACATCCATTCATTTACCGGCTGATGTTACCATGGCACTGAAAAAAGTGACCTACCGATCAATTTTCACACTTACGACCATTGCGGCATCCCCACGTTTACGAGACCCTTGGCCACTGACTCACATTTATGACGGTTGCAGAGTCCCAGGGTCACGTGATCCCCTTTTGCGACCATCTGACCAAGCAAAGTCAATGGGGGAAGCCAGATTCACTTAACAACTAAGTTACTAACTGAACAACCGTAGTGATTCCCTTAACAACCGGGGCAAGAAAGGTCGTAAAAGAGGGTGAAATTCGCTTAACAACTTACCTTGCTTAGCAACGGAAACGTTGTGGTTTCTAAGCCAAGAACTCCCTATTCTGGCTATTGCGTACGTGGCTTATATTTATTTACATTGTGATTTCCGATTTCTGGTTGGTCTCATGCAGGCTGGCCAGGGATAGCCAAAGGGGGGGGGGTTTGGGGCGGGGGGGGGGGTGCTTTAAAATGCCCAGGTGTGTCAGGTCTCCATCCACCACTTGCATACGAAAAGAGGTTTCTGTCACGTTAACGCTTTTAACACAGCTCCGGCCTGTAGATACCCTGGTAGTTTATATTAGGGAGTTTATGTAGCTGATCAAATTAAGGGCAGTAAATTGGTCTGCTTTATGGCCCTGTTTCATTCTGGAACAGGAAGAGAAGGCAACCAAGGAAGGAGCTGTAGGTCCTGGCTGATGAAAATGGGGAACTGGAAAAGAAAAAAGAACCTTAGTCTTTTTTTTGGGGGGGGGGGGGCACAGTGCTATTTCCCTTTCCGGAAAAAGCACCCCGAACTTCCAAATTCAGAAGCGCTTTTGCTCAACCTCTGCGTGATTGCGTTTTCTCCAAAACTCCCAGGCATGCTAACCCTTCAAATATACTGGTAGGTCTCGATTTACGACCACAATTGAGTCCAAAATTTATGCTGCTAAGTGAGAGATTTGTTAAATGAGCGGGGTGATGCTCATTTAACAAATTTCTCACTTAGCAGCATAAATTTTTACGATTTTGTTTTGCCGCATCTGTTAAGCGGATCCCTGCAGGCGTTAAATCAGTCACACCATTGTTAAATGAATCCGGCTTTTCCATTGACTTTGCTTGTCAGAAGGTCACAGGAGGGGCATGGCAACTGTCATAAATACGAGTCAGTTGCCAGTGTCTGAATTTTGATCCCGTGACCGTGAGGATGGTGCAATAAGTGTGGAAAAACTGTCACAAGTCCCTTTTTTCAGCGCTGTTTTTAACTTCGAACAGTCACGAAACGAAAGGAGGACTACCTGTAAGCACAAAATCAAAACCCTTCCCCACCAATAAATGCTCAGGGTAGTTTTTCCTAGCTACTTCTTTGGAGACATTTTGTGGGGATGGTACCCAAACCAGCATCAAGTATAAGGAATGCTTATGCAGCCAACTTCAATTACACTTGTAGGATTTAAGCTTGCCTAATTCTCCCGTTCTGTCACCTGTAAGGCTTTTCCAAATCCAACATGCCCCATCCGTCTTTTTCTGAAGCATCCCACGAAATCTGGATGCCAGGGCAGAAAAAAAACAAAACTTCATTGTTGCCTCTTTTTTGCAAGTTACAAAACCCCAAATGCACGAAACAGGAGCCATTGAGCAGCTGTCAGGCCTTGGGCACAAGTCTCTGAGCATAAAAATCCATCGGTCACCTTGGCCAACGCTATCTGGCTGACTGCACCCCAGAGTGGGGAGCGGGCTTGATGCCCAAACAGCTGGACTTTTCTTCCAATATTCTTGAGGGTCTTTGGTTCACAAATATTAGGGCAGGTGGCACTGATGGAAACCAAAAAAAGCAGTTTTTTTTTTTT